ATGTTATTTTACTATAACTATAATACACATTAGATTGTATTAACTATAATACACATTAGATTGTGTTAACTGTAATACACATTAGATTGTGTTAAGTATAATACACATTAGATTGTATTAACTATTATACACATTAGATTGTGTTAAGTATAATACACACTAGATAGTGTTAACTCTAACAAAGATATTTTACTATACATGTAACTATAATACACATTAGATTGTGTTAACTATAATACACATTATATTGTATTAACTATAATACACATTAGATTGTGTTAAGTATAATACACACTAGATAGTGTTAACTCTAACAAAGATATTTTACTATACATGTAACTATAATACACATTAGATTATGTTAACTATAATACACATTAGATTGTGTTAACTATAATACACATAAGATTGTGTTAACTGTAGCAAAGTTATTTTACTGTAACTATAATACACACTAGATAGTGTTAACTGTATATATTGCCCTTCATGCCTTTACCACAAACCACGTCTTCTCCCTACTTTTTATCCATTATCCTATCCACTTACTTCCAAAACCCTTACATATGTTCCCCTTAATCTTCATACTTTTTATCTCCTACATTCTCACAGTTTCTCTCCTTCATTTTCATTTCTTTATTCTCATTCTAACCCCTCCTCATCCTAACCCCTCCTCATCCCGTTCTCTCCTTATGGTCACTCATTCACTGCTCAAACGTGTTCCTACCCTCCTCATACCATCCCTTACTTCTATCGTGCCTTCTCTTCTCCCTTTGTCCTTACTCCTATCAGCTAATCTTCCTGTAACCCCAGCCTTACACATCCGCACCATTGCTCCCTGTATGTTCTATCCTTCACCTCTTTAAATTCAAATTACCTCTTCCCAAGCATCGTCACCACCAATGCTTCCCACGCATAAGGCCGGCAATGAGTATATTGATATATTGATTATTTGAAATGAGATTTGACAAACTGATCACTATAGGCGAGTCGTATTGTCGCCAGTTTATTGTTACGGGATTATGGGCCAGTTTTCCAACTGTAGGACGTGGTGTACTTGTCAGGTAGTAGGAGAAGTGACGTCATTGCTTTGGTAAATCAATAGTACTACCTACTAGTGTAGCGATCTGGAAGAGAGAAAAAGCGTGTCATCAAGTGTATATCTTATCGTTTTTTCAATCTCATAAACGAAACAGAATATCCTCCACAAAACCGCAATTATCACATGAAATCTCTGAAGAACTCAAAAGATCTTTTGATCAATCTTGAGCATACTTTATTACATGGAAATGGTTCGTGTATAGGAACATCGATATATACACAGTATACATTACCATATCTTATACCAAGAAGTACTCACGTACGGCTTGTTCGTTTATAGTCTAGTTAAACGGACTTTTAGAGCATAGTAAAGTCAGTTAAAATTGTTTTGAAATAAAGTGCTGATGTGAAAAACGAGCAAAGCATGTGTAAAATGCTAGCAAATATATCAAAATTAGCGTAAAAGCCACCTTCAACAATACGTGCTTCAACCACACTGGTGGTTACACAAACACTTTATTTATACATAATGGTAACACAAATTATCAGGAGTAATGACGTTGTGAAAATGTTTCTGATTTTAAGAAGAACGCTCAGCAGCTTTATTTACTGTCAGACGTAGGTGATGTCCGATAATAACTGACATTTTGCCATGGCCTGAGAGAATGACGTCATATCCGTTATATACCAATGTATTTTTAATTGAGAACGTATTTGTAGAATGTCCAGATAGCGCAGCCATTAAGTGACCTATTGCAAAGGAGTGTGTATCGTAGCATAATCAAACTCAAATTAATTCGATGTCGGCACTTTTTCCATTACATGTTTACCTGCAGGGCAAATACTAACATATTCCATGTCGTTCGTCTAATTGGAATCCCCGTAAAACGAGTGAAGCAGAAAGGAGCTAAGATTCCACTTACCGGCTTATTACCTACTCATGAAAACCTCGTTCTTTGATTCCGGTAAACATGCTGAAAATAGAAAATCTGAAAGAAAACAGAATTATCACGAAGGAGGTTCACAAACAACCCGTGACCTGCATGCATATCCATTAACAGACTTACTTATCACGAAAAGGCAATTGCTGTGACATGGCGGAGATTATGCTGATGTCTCGTGCTCATAGCATGCAAGACAGAACAAAAAAAAGGAACACCATAATCTCGTATTTCTTTGTTATTTTTGACGAATGTTAAAATATCGTTCGTCTGCATAATTAATCAAAAATAGGAATTGTAATGAAATACATTGTTAAAGTGTTTTTATCAGAATGTTAAAGTGTTTTTATCAGAATATATAATAAACGTGTCTGGTATTTTTTTTATAGCAGACAGAGGAAACTAAGAGTAGGAATAATATTGAAATAAAATGTAAAAGTGTAGTTATATACTTCCCTGGCAGATACTTTGTCTAGTGGACAGATCTGACTATAAGTCCGGAACATCATTGAATTGCAGTGTAAAAGTGTAATTATAAATTTCCCTGGCAGATACTTTGTGTAGCGGACAGAACTAACTATAAGTCTGGAACATCATTGAATTGCAGTGTAAAAGTGTAATTATATACTTCCCTGTCTAGCGGACAGAACTAACTATAAGGCTGAAACATCATTGAATTGCAGTGTAAAAGTGTAATTATATACTTCCCTGGAAGATACTTTGTGTAGCGGACAGAACTAACTATAAGGCTGGAACATCATTGAATTGCAGTGTAAAAGTGTAATTATAAACTTCCCTTGCAGATACTTTGTGTAGCGGACAGAACTAACTATAAGGCTGGAATATCATTGAATTGCAGTGTAAAAGTGTAGTTATATACTTCCCTGTCTAGCGGACAGAACTAACTATAAGGCTGGAACATCATTGAATTGCAGTGTAAAAGTGTAAAGGCGTTATCATTACGACATTATATTTCTTTGCAAGCGGTGACTATTTTAGGGATTCAGTAATAAGCTGAAAACAGCCATGTATTGTGTAGTGATGTAAGAGTAAGATATAACACTACTGTTTATATTACCATGGTGACAGCGATCTAACTGTCACGCGAATTGGAATATATCTGCAGACGAAATGCCTGGGACTGACTAGTGTCAAGTAAAATTCAATCAGATACTTTCCAATTGTGCATCAATGTTTATAATTCAAATGCAAAACCTGTGAAATTTGTAACTGTGATTATAGTTTTTATAAGTTAATGTGTTTTCTCCCCACACAATCTCTAAATCTCAAAGTAATATAACAAGTTCCTCTAGCTGATACAGATAAATTTTGTATGCGTTGTTTTTTCTTCTGTTATTTGAATACATTATAGTTTAATATTTATCTTGCAATTTTGTCACATTTTTGCCTCTATCTTTGTTGATGAGATTTCCTTTGTGTAAATACCAGTTTTCTGCCCTGAGTTGTGTATTCGGCGTGGCTACTGAACACTACATGGTTTGTGTTACATGCACCGCTGATTAACCATAGACCACCGTCAATACTTTTAATTTATCAGCAGATTTATCAACGGTTTTTTTTTAGTTTTTTTCTGAATTTCTCAAATTACAAATGTAGATCATTTTACGGGTTCAGTGCGGATTTCTGCTTTCTTTTGCTATCAAATATTTAAATACTATATTTTACTTGTATCTCTACCATTAATGACATGGTGGCCTCAAGCATGGCTTATGGGAATTTCTTAATCGAAACATATATGTTGCGACTTTATCATTTTTGCCATTTGGTCTTTTTTCATTTTTATCTTTTTCTTAACTTGAAAAAATTAGAATACGATAAACGTGAATTATATTAAAACTACCCTAAGTACTCCAACTTTAAAACCATCATATTGTATAAAATCATCGATATTTATCGGAATTTTAGTACGTAAGCCCTTCTTGTGCATTACTAAGCCAATCATAAAACATTGAAAGACGGCCTTGATGGCATATATTTCGTAACAACCACACGTTGAAATCCATGTATGGATACATAATGTGGAAGACATCTTACACTCTACCGGAAGTATCCGGCTCTATGTAACTCGCAGACCGTGCCCGGACACTAGGTCCGGTGATTACCTAGGCTTTGTGTTGTGGATCGACCTTCCCATCCTGGTATATATATATATACTGGCGAATCTGTTCACATAAACAGTAGTATATTTATCTTTTGTTATCCTCTCGCGTGGGTTGTCTAATCCTAGATCTCAAAGTAGGGTTTTCTATTCACGATGTATTACTATATTGAATCGAAAGTCACAGTTGATTACATCTGTATTAGGTTAAATCATGCGTGAAGTGTAATCATAGTACACGCCTTCCACGTCTCCCTTTCCATCACCACGAGGCGTCCTTTACAAATGTAGATGATACTTCCGCCTTTTCTTCACTGCTGGTGTACACGTGTTCTATTGTCGTTACCCAGGTGATACACGTACATTTTTATACTCATTATCTGCACGGCTGATAAAGTAACACAATTTAGTTGCAAAACCAGCGTGTATCATATAAACATGTATTGAAGCGGTGTAATGGCTATTTGGTCTAATGCCATCATCACGAAACTATTTGGCACGCGATTAACAAAAACATGTCTCGATAGATGCTAGACTTGCATAATAGTCACAAGCAATACGCGATGAGCAAGCACCTGTTCAAAAAAACAATTTAAGTCGGATAATAAAAGCTAAAAAGGTGAACATTTTCTCTGCACCTAAATTGCCTGGTGGTTCATCTATCACCCCTCACTGATACTAAAGGTCTTAGGAATGAACATTCACGTGTCAAGTATTCTGAAATATATAGATTCATGTTAATACATAACTGTATCTGTGTCTGTAAGTGTGTTACGAAATATGTATGTGACATTTCCTCGCTTTCTTCACAGGTCTTTGAACATAACCAGGATATATCACATAGTAACCTAGTAAAAACAAGATATATTCAGTTTGCTGACTCCCTTGTCCTTATATTGCAGATAACCTCCCGTAGTCTAACGCCGAGGATCGGAACCTTCCCACCGTCCCAACATGGATGTGGCAATTAATTCATCGGGGGTAGCATCATCTATAGACCTTCACACGGAGATTCCTGTGTCACTAATCACCATGGAAACATTCCGTTGTCGGAACTGTTCCCTGATTAATCAATCCACAGAGAGGGCTTCTGACGTTTCTAAAACCGGAATTGTGGTGGACGTATATCCGGAGTTTATTGGTTATGCTTACACCATCCAGAGCGTCATCATAGGTATTGTGCTCTTCTCTCTCATCATTCTCACGGTGGCTGGAAATATCATTGTACTTTTAGCCGTATTTTCTAACCGGAAGTTAAGGACGGTATCTAATATGTTTATTGTATCATTGAGCCTGACTGATCTATTTGTGGGAACAATAGTCATGATGCCTGCTGCACTTAACGAAATATTTGACCAATGGATACTAGCTCGAGAGTTTTGTTCGATATGGGTGTCGTTCGATGTTATGTTAACCAGTGCCTCCATACTGAATGTTTGTTTGATAAGCATTGACCGATATATTGCCATTATGACTCCACTAAGGTACCGGACACTGATGACAAACCGGCGGGCTATACTCATGCTTTGTGTCGCGTGGGGAATATCCATACTTTCTTCATTCGTCCCAGTAGAAAACGGACTACACAATCCAGAAATGGCGACACTAGAAAACTTGACGATATTCAGTGAACAACCTCAGTGTATATTTATAGTGAGTTTCCCATACGCGGTTATTGCCGGATCTGTGACAATACTGCTCCCCATTATTGTAGCCCTGACTCTTTACTGGAGGGTGTCGAAGGAGGCCAAACGCCAGGCTTTCCTCGTCGGCAGCCTCATCACGGCGGGTAACGTTCTGCTCGGACAGCACGTTGCCTCCAAACACATCCGGGAACCCTTCACTAGAAAAGCAACAGTGACTCTTGGCATCATTGTAGGTGCTTTTGTGGTGACATGGACGCCTTTTTTAATTGCCAACAACATCGACGCATATTTTCAAGTGATTCCACCGAAAGTTTTCACGGCGTTTGTGTGGTTAGGGTACTGTAACAGTCTAATTAATCCGATCATTTATCCTTTATTCATGAGAGATTTCCGTAAAGTCTATAAATCTATGTTTACTAAGTGTTGTCCATATGTAAGAAAGATAAAATCTCTGAGAAAGGACAGAGTGTATAGATGCATTCCTTCCCCGAAATGTCAACAACGTGCAGGTGCAATATAAATAGTTTAACAGATGTACTGCACGTATATGTAATAGTTATGACAGCTCCATATCACTACGCCAGTATTTACCACTAGGGCAGGGGATTCCGGTTGTTACAGAGGTGCCATTAATTCATATTCGCGTGTGAATGTTTTCGTTACTTGACTGATAAAGCTTTTCGCTTAGCGATATAAAACGACCAAGTTTTAGCTGATATATATGTTGTTTACAAATATAATTTATATTTTTTTATTGTAATATCTCTTCAATAGCGACATTTTGCACGTCACAAAAACACTCTCTTTGTGCAGTATGATCGTATTTTGTTGACTTTTGTTTTGTAGTTAGTCGGAGTGAGCTGTAAGTATCACAGACTAAAGTCATTGTATGATATAGAACAAACGTGAGGCTATATGCTACCTTATACGTAAAATCTTCAGAACTTGGAGCGGGCTAGATTTTCTAACAATCCTCGTATGTATTATTAGGGTGCTGCCAGGGTTGGGCACTACATGGGGTCACCACGCATAAAGTGTTTCAAAAACTAAGTGAGTTTCCTTCACACTTTTATATGAGAAATAAATTTAATTTGTATTAACTTGTAATTATTAATCATCAGAGTGATATGAATTGGTGTCTTAATATGTCACAGTTAGGGACCATATAGTTTTTGGAATTCTATATTAAAGAACTTTGTATCCTGAAGTCTGCCTGTCAGAGTAAGGTAACATGCATCAGCCTCTAGGACATGGTGTGGTAAAATGTCCCTTCGACCTTTATGTCAAAGTAAGACAACATGTAACCTGAGGCTTCTACATCTCAGTAAGACATTATAAAGTGTGAAGTCTCCGTGTAATAGAAAACCAATATAACAGTCATAAATTTAGACTCAAATATTCATGATAGAATTGTGATATCGACTTCGGTTATTATAAATATTGTTAGTCGTTATGCGATTATCAAAATATCCATATGCTTATTCATTTTGCTAGTTTACTCTGAGTGTCTTGATCCTGAACAGGGCAGGCCATGTGCTAGAAAAAATATTCTCTCTACAAAACTGTTTTCAGGCATAATTCCTACTCCACGTAAGAAAGATCTATTTAAAGTGCCACGTTTATTGTGGTTTTTTTCCTACGTTTGTTACGAGTTGTTACGAGACAGATGACTTGATTCCATAACTTGAGTTTTAATAAAAAAAAATCTGATTGATTTATTAAGTTCAATACATTGACACGCGAATACTTCTTTATAGGTTAACGATTAGATAATATGTTTATATCAGAATCATTGACGACTCAAAATATTTCACACAGCAATCAGTTTAAAGGGTAAAAAAACGGGAATATGTCACACAGCAATCAGTAAAGGAAAAAAACCGGGAATATATCACACAGCAATCAGTAAAGGTTAAAAAACCGGGAATATTTCACACAACAATCAGTTTAAAGGGTAAAAACCGGGAATATTTCACACAACAATCAGTTTAAAGGGTAAAGAAAACGGGAATATTTCACACAAGAATCAGTTTAAAGGGTAAAAAAGCGTGAATATTTCACACAACAATCAGTTTAAAGGGTAAAAAAAACGGGAATATTTCACACAACAATCAGTTTAAAGAGTAAAAAACGGGAATATTTCACACAACAATCAGTTTAAAGGGTAAAATAACGGGAATATTTCTATGCGCGAGAATGTTCACTCTTACAGTGTCATGTGGTGAGGCCTATAACTCGCTTAAATGAGAACGTTTAAAGTAAATGATAATTATAAGCTACAACATATCACTCGCGAAAATGTACTGAAATGTTTTCTTCTCGAGTGATCTAATTCGGACCAGATTAAGCTACGTGTGCCTGCTAAACGATATGATGACTGCAGTATAATGTTTGTGATAGCGTTAGATATTATTGGCCCGTCACCTCTTCTGATCCCGCTGTATCACGGGTTTTAAATGAGCTCGTTTTGTTGGTAAATAGGCTACACAATGTGGTATATTTCGTGTTACTCGCCAAATTATGTACCTCATTTCACGCATTATTAATTACACGGGCAAGTTTGACACTAACCATTTATATTTTAGCTACTGCAAATATTCATTAAAATTACGAAAGGTGTTCTTAAATACATTTTGTATATTATTATTAGCAGACACGATCCGATTTTGTGATTCTTGTGGTAAAGAGCCAAATAATTTTTCAACTAGGATGTCATTTTTGTTAATGACTTACATTCTGTCAAAAGTTTTTGATAATATGCCAGTGTTTTATTAATGCTTTTTCTGGCCTCGTTAATGCGAGGCGGTCAAAACGTGCGCGTGTTACATGTTAGAGGTCGGATTGGGTCAAGGACAAACAAGCATGATTTCATCCAAATTAGTTCTGTGATAAGGTTTGTGTGGCATATGTGGGAGGAATGCGTGTTTGGATGTGAGAGAGATGATGCGGTGTGAATTTGTGATTAAATTCTGTATAAGGCAAAATTGTTTGTATTAATTGCGTGTAAAAACAATATGAGGTCATATCGACCATTCAGGTCTATAAAGTCCAAAAAATGGAAATCCTTGGATGTCTAAAGAGGTCAGAAACATGTTTATCATTTATTGTTCTTATCCATCCTTTAATTAGCAAAATCCTTTTAACGTTATTCATTATATACAATTGTAGAGATTAGAAATGAAATCTCAAGGATAAGGTAAAGGGTTGAAATGGTCAAGTAGGATTAGGTATTCAGTTGAATCTGCTAAACACAAAACTCTAATAAATTAAGGTACTTGAAAAAAAACTGTAATGGACCACTGTGAATAGGTTAACTTTTACGAAAACACGTGTCAGGGGTTGTCCTTCACATTCACCTGGGCTTTAAGGTCGCGAAAGAGTCAACTACAGATGTGTAGTCCTTATTTGGCACGTGCCCGACACCCATCGACAATTAACGGGACAACAATATCGTGTTAGATTAACGTCATTGTTGTTTTTCTACTTGCCGTTCTTGATTTCGCACGTCATCTGTGTTTGATTTAAATACTTATTTTCTGAAGATTCAAATGGTTTTGAAATCAATTGAGATAAATGGGTAATCTCTTAAATGTCTTAATAACTGAAGAACAGGTACTCCCCCATCAGCTTACATGTAACAGCAGTAACTACATTGTAATAAGCAACTAAACGTTAAAAGCTGTGACGTAACTGTTTCTGAACTTGATTTGATTGATCGACCCGTTGTCGATAAAAACACACTTATAAGACATCCTTATATAACTGTCTTGATTGTAATTCGCTGAACGAAAATCCGAGGTTCGGGTCACGCCAAGGTGTGGTGGTAGACACAGTCTGCTAAAGAACATAATTGCCGAAATCAAATTATCTGCGCACAAAAATCCTATTAAGGATAACAGCAAAAACCGCCGTCTCGCTGGAGTCATTAGCAGGTGTAGGAGGCGGACACCGCAGCGTAGTCTCTAAATATAGATCTGTGGATAGCTAACCTTTGGGATTACCCCCATATTGCCAGTCTATTTTGGTAAAGTGATGTTAAGGGCTATTCGCAGTAATACCATCATCACCCGGATCATTTGTCTGGCGATCATTTAGATGAAATACCTTGCGAAATATCGGTTATTGTGTAGGAGAGATCAAGTCTGTTAAATAAATGTTGTTTTTTTTAGTTTGTTTATTTCATGTCACCATGGTTACTTATTTTTTCTTTATTCAAAATACGTGGTGTAAAATTATTTTAGGCATAAGCTTAAGGGAAGAGTTAAAGTATTTACCTTATCAATAGCATTTGTTTTCTATGTAACTGTAGATCTTACATGGAATGTTATGAACTAAATTTAACACGCTTCAAATCTTTTTTTGAAATTGAATTTATCTTAATTGGAATTGAAACTAATTGGGGTTTTTTTATTACAGGAATCGTTCGTAGAGAATTGATAACCTGGTATCAAGATAAATATAAGATATTGTTTTAAAATACAAGAAGTCTGAAAGTAAACAAAATTCAACCTTTTTCAAAATTAATTTCGAATCTGTTTGGGTGACAGTTTGGCGCTGACTCAGCAGTTTAGGTGCGTACCCTCACCCCAATGTTACCAGTATTACAGGTATGTACTACCATTACAGGCATAGTCCAGTAAAGTGTGTACACTGTTTACCTTACCGGCTAGGGACAGTTAAACGCCTGTGGACATGACATTAACTATTGTGACAAAGGAGGCAATTGTTTACTCCAGAATGGAAGTTTTTAGGCCAAGTATGACTTTGTAAATCTCCAAAACCTATAAACGACTCGGTGTGTTGATACTTCTCTAATGCGAGTCTTGTATTAATCCTCAAATAAAAACATCAATTTAGACTCTCGTGTAATATTAGCTCTGAGTAAGCCATAACCACGGGGCAGTTTTTAAAATTTTGACCGTTGTCCCAAGATATTTAAAACACAGTATGTTGATTCAGATATTTCCTTTTAAACTTTATCAAATGATGGAATCTTCTACATAATTACATTTAAAGTCAATAGTGTAAATATTTACAAAACAGCAAATGCGTTCTTATATACAGTTACATTGTCATCGCCTAGTAATTCAGTTAAAGACATAACACACCACAGGATTATGACAGAACATCGTATAGTGTAAACAAAACTGGAGTGACAATATGTATCACTCGTCTACATAATGAAATAAAATCTAGGATATCCTTCAGAAGTTTACAAAAGTCTTATTAAATATAATCTTTGAGCCACGTTGAAAGGTATTTTGCCTAAGTATTGTATTTTTACTACATGGGTACTTTAATATGATGGTACACTGAAATGACGTCATTGAAAGCAAAAACCTCATTATACTTAACATTTTGATTATCTTGAGTTTGCAAAAAAACTCATATAAAGAAAAAAAATCTGTTTTGATCAACTTATGCTTGACAATAGCTGAACTATACCCGTTAATACATTGTCCTGTTGGCCCAGACACTAGACCTAAAGGAACATTAATATTTACCCTCTGTTTCCACAGGAGAAAGCATTACTGTATAACCCAGCAAAATTAAGTAAAGGTTTTGTTAACTTCCCCGACATTGAACCGCCAACTAATGATAAATAATTTCGTCGGGCGGACAATGTTTGGGTTACATGTATAAATAGTTGTATAAGCAATCCAACCATGTATACGATCTATGTTTATTTGACGGGAAAAGGAAAAGGTCGTATAATATACACATGAACTATTTATACAATGCAATAATCAACATGTCACGCGAGGCACAGGATGACATTAAATGTCCAACACACAGCTGTACTAATAAACATATAGACATATAAGCGACACAAAACAGCTCATCAATTGACAATAGTGTTATTTATTAAATAAATGTTATTTGATATGAGTTCGGATTATATCATAGTTGGACGCTCTGCTATTTTTTATATCAAATTTTGTTAAAAAAAAACAAAAGTGCGAATGACATAATGAATGATTGAAGGGTGATTGAATATAGTATGCTTTACACAAACTAGTTAAACGATGTTTGGTTGGCTTTGAAATCATCACAAACAGAGAATAAGTGTGTGGTATGTGTGTTATCTAACATGACTGTGCTATAAGCAATACTTTTTTTAACCTGTTGTCACGACGAATGGAGTGAAGATGATGCTATATTTGTGCTGTGTTAATGATGCCGATCTAAGAGAAATGTTGATGTAATGTTGTGATCATGAGGAATTGTTCTAGTCTTTCATTTTGCTGTACTGGCGTCCATACATACAAACGTCCCTACCCTAGTGTATCACGTGTTACCTTAACGTTATAATGATGTTGTTATTCACGATACAAAAGGAAAAAATGACAAAAATACAATAAAATATCACAATATCATAAGTGTGTCTGTTTTTTGTTTTTTTTTAATTCAAATGGAAGATGTTTACAAACATTGTATAAGCAAGGTTTTTCGTCTGTGTCTCAACACAATATATATACATTATATCTGCAATGAGAACACAAAAGCAAAAATAATAATGATAACGATGCACAGATAAGCCTTATGATTGTAAATTATAATTCGCATTTTGTCCATAGTGATCATTCATATAATCAGCAAATGTATACACACTTTACAAATCACATTGTGAACGTTCTGACATCGAAACAGCCGAAATTGTTTCAAGGTGAATAGCACAGAAAAGTTTTAATGTATTGGCGCTACTAGAATATATTTTTTAATGTCGTTTTCTATAAAAGTGTTTCATACAAAAATACATCTGGTAAGATATATTTGGCATTTGGAGTACCGAAAAAATACCCATGTGGTCTGGCAGTTGACCCTCTTTTCCTTTTAACGTTCGATCGGGGAATCAAACCAAATCACCTTGGTAAAAGGCGAGTGCACTATCCAGTGTACCATCCCGCCACCCAACAAGGGAAATAACACTAAGCTAGGAACACTCAGTAAAATACAGTATCTGTATAACCATGTATACATAATGTGATAACCCCGTATACACTATGTAATAACCCTGTATATAATATCTGATAACCCTGTATATACTATATGATACCCTGCATACACTATGTGATATCCATGTATACAATATCTTAACTGACTGTATAACTATCTGATAACCCTGTATACACTATCTGATCAATCGGTACACACTAATTGATAACCCTATATATATTATCTGATACATGTAGACCCTGTATACACTTTCTGATGACCGTGTATTCAAAATCTATTAATCATGTACATACTATCTGATAACCCTGTATACACATCCTGAAAAATCTGTATTCCCTATCTGATAACCCTGTATACGTAAGCTGATAACCCTGAGTGTATACATGATCTAATAACAATGTATACACTATCTGATAAACTTGTATATACTAAGTGATAACCTTGTATATACTATCTGATAACACTGTATATAATATCTGATAACTATTTATACATTATATGATAACCCTGTATACAAAATCTGATAACCTGTATACACGTTCTGATGACCCTGTATACACTTTCTGATAACCCTGTTTATACTTTCTGATAACCATGTTTATACTTTCTAATAACCCTGTATATACTATCTGATAACCCTGAATACACTATCTGCTTACCATGTATACATTTTCTGATAACCATGAATACACTAAGAGATAACCCTGTATACAGTATATAAATATTCTTTTATACAGTATGCAACAAGCCATGAAGACATTATGTGTTATCCCGGTATACTGAATCTACAACTTCATTATAGAATGTCAAGTTCATGTATCTATGATAATAGTATTAATAAAACCTATGAATAGCATTGGAGTAGTCTTTATATAGTAAGTAAAAGCATTCTGTGTACAGTATATACTAACTGACTGTACACGATTTTAAATATAATATCGTAAACATTAATAAGCAGAAATCAAACGGAACAGTTGATTTCATCAAATCATTTTGCAGTGTTTAAAACACAATATAATGCAATACCAACATTAATATGCCTTAAGTAGTCTCAGTGTTAATATACCTGATATGATGATCGAGGAAACCTTCAAACGGTTCCTTAACACCCATTGTCATCTGGTTATTGTAATTAATTTAAACAGTTAAACTTCATCCATTGTATGAAATGTGATATCTGAATATCGATATCAGTACAATAAGCATTTTGTCAGTAACTTACATAAATGGAGAATGATATCACTCGTGACAGAATTATATATCTAAATGTAACAACAGTTTTTATTTTCATATGAAGACATTTTGTTCTCCAGGACTATCGAGCATATGGAATGTAGCAATGCTTTATAAACAACGTACATCTGAGGAACTGTTTCTTCTTTTATAATCAACTGTCTAATTGCGTTCCTAGTATAAATTCAATTTGATAAATAGATGATGTTCCCAGATCAATTTAACTGGAAATAATGTTGATCAATTATCAACAAATGGAAACTTTATAATATCGAAGTATTTCCACAAGAGACGCGTTATCACGTTATAGTGACATTTGTGTCAATAACATTGCAGTTTATGACATAAAATGTTAAAGATAGAGTCATGATTGATTATGATGATGCATATTCAATTCGTATGCTGTATTGGTTTTATGAATAATCTGCCCCATAATCTCTATTTATATCAGATGTGATAAAGAATTTGACCTTGATAACTTCGAAAGTCATCAAAAGTCAGATTTCCGAAACAAAAATAATACTTGATATCTAATACTAGCTCAACCTAAAGAACAGTCAATACCATTTCCAATTGCGCGTCGTCAGAATAAATACATTGTCCAATATAAATTCTATTAGAATAATTGACCACCTACAGCTTCACTTAAAACCAAATGTGCAATACCTTCTTAGTCTCCGACCGCCAATAATTAAACAACAGGATATCGTGTAGGCGTTCACGTGCTTTCAGGAAATGATGGTGTTTAAATGGGAATGGTCTTCTCTATCTGCGACTGTCCACAATCCAACTTACCTGTAATGCTTTTTATACTTCCAAGTGTTAATTAATGGGGGAAACATCTAAACAATAATTACGCCTTTTACACTTTTAACTCCATTTAAAACGTTTTCATCTTCTTTCGACGTGAATGTTGAACTTTTTAAACCAAAGAAAACATCACTACGTCATCCTGAAGAAGGTAATCAAAGTAGCAAACATAACGTACACGCATTTACTATTGTCTGATATTGCATGGTAAAACTAATAACAAATGAAAAGTAGGTTGTGTATACAAACATGACCAAGACAGCAATAGTTATGACGTGATTTTGATGTAAGATTAGATACCGCTCATTGTACGATACTAAGTGTGAGTTTTAAGCAATTCTTTTCCTGTGAAACATTGAACATAAGGATCTGTGAAAGCTGTCTCGGTGAATCCTTGCTGAACCCCATTAACCCTAGCCCACAGACAGCTGATTGAGTATATTCTAACATACGAAATGGTATCTGGACTTGATCTCATTTGTTATCAATTATTGGCAAACACATTGTTTACAGATTTGTTTACTCATGCCGTTCACTCCCTTAAAAAATGGTAATGCAAAGTCAATTCTTTAAACGTCGGCACTATTTACAGCCTCTCAGTTTAGCAGCGTATTGACGGCTTTTGTACATTTTCTTTAGGTATTCGACAGTAGTACTTCTGTTTAAACCATATTTTGAAAACGAAAGCATAGTTTTGAACAATTTTAAACAGGAAGTATCTCATATTTACCACGAAACCTTTAAACTTGTTAAGAATTACTACTCGATGTCCAGCGATCTTCCTTACTTCTCAAAATTGTAATGGCTATTTCTTTTACAGCATAAACCATTTTAAATATTAATCCAATACGGCCGTATATGTCGTTAATAAATTGGTCACCATGAAGAGATTCATTAAAAGCAGACAGGACTAAGTATTAAAATGATGATTTCCAATGCTTTTCAGTTATAACTTAAGCTCTTATTTATAAATTTTGAAAATGATTAACTATGGTAAGCCTTGCCCCGTATGCTGAAATATTGATTTATATTCAGGCTTTTTCATAGTCACTCTACATAAACTATATGCGATATAAAATATGGGCCCAGATAAAGGTTTGATGAAGGCGTTACATTATTATCAATCTCGGCCTTTCGATTATCTTTGCTCCTTAATCGACCACATCCATGATGTGTAGTTTGTACATATTTGATAAAACTGAAGCATGTGCTGATAAGCCTTTCAGTTTCACCTTACTATGGCAGACACATTGCATCGAAGGAAGTCATTGCATAGACATTTGTTGATATGGAATATTATCTTTGTTCAAAGATTATTCTTTTGTTAAACAATTTTGTCAAATACCCAAATCTAACAGAAATAAATTCCATGTGGGTATGCTTTTACTCTTATTCATACCTTGGTTAAGAACTCGTGCATAATCAATTGAGTTTTTTCCTTTTGTTTTGTTTAGGGGACTTTGAAGAAACCAGAATGAGACCTACTGTATCTAACTACATGTGTATCATAAAAGGCGACTAATGTGCGGCCCCGCAGAACCGGCAGCTTTCCTCAGTTTCTTTTACAAAGAGAACATGAAAGAGACAAAAACCGATCTGCTGACCCCATTGCAACACGTGGGATCCTTCTCGTTTTCTACCTTTCCTGTCTGTTTGATTTCTTGCCTACTTTCCCTTCCGGTGCTGTCTCCCTGGACAACCGTCCCCGTGTAACATTGGATATTGTGAGGACGTTAATCTTCAAACAAACATTAAACTTGTATAAGCATTCAAGCAAATAAAGCGAACACTAGAAACAAATAACGGTAAAAGTAGGAAACAAATAAAGTTTATAGTAGAGAAAAGAAACATCTTTTAGCAGAGCGTAGCCGCATACGACCATGTAGTGAAGTGGGATGAGAGGTCTATCATTGACCTTAACTTGCACATGCAATTAGATAAACAAGCATACCAAAATGAAATACCAAAGTAGGAGATGGCAATCAGATAGATCATCTGTCATCTTGTTTAATTAAATTACTAGCATCGAGCCATGCCGATTGGTATAAAGCCACCTTTTATGTAAAGCCTTTCATCAATTTTAAGCTTATCACTGTACATTATTCAAAAGATTGTTAATCACTACGATCGCCTTGTCTATTTGTCTCTCTGCATTTATGATGCTTTCTTTAAGTATCAAAGTTGAATTCGAATTTGGGCTGTGTATTGAAGATGAAGTATATCCTATTCTCAGTTACAGGATGACCGACTGATAGTAATATAACTCTTATGTGAACAAATTTGAACACCCCCCC